TAAACTATATTTTTTAATAAAAACAATTAAAATTTAATTTCTTAAAATAAAATTGAAAGTTTAAACTGGTAGTATTTTACCTCATAGATTCCATTTTCTAATAGTTGAAATTTTTTCTAATATTAATGATTTGTAAAAATTTATCCAGTAATTTTGTCGACTTATTTTGGCAACTTCAATATTTCCAAAAGTGTTTTTATCAATTTTTTATCAATTGTCTGTTTATCTAGTTCAAAGATTTTGTACTGTTAATAAATCAGTAGGAAAACTAAAATTCTGCTCAACAAACAATGTAAAAGAAAGGTAAATGAAAAATTTTAAAAAAAGATAGATTTTCAAATCCATGTAAAAAAGAAAGTGTCACTTGGCAACAAAAATTAAAACCTATGTTGGTTTATTTTCAAGTCTATCTTTTACTTGTTTTTATTGCTATTGCTTTAATTACTTTTTTGGGAGTTGTATTCAAATTGGACTACAAAAGAAATACTGGAATTTCAGCAGCATAGTGTAAACACTTCTTTTAAACCTCTAACAATAAATACTAATTTATCAATGATTGAAAAATTTTTTATCTAATTGAAAAGATGACAAATGCTGACAAGAATATTTGCTTAGTTACCAGTTTTCACAAAATGTAAGTTTTTTTTTTTCTCTCTTAATGAATCATTTTATATGCATATAAAATCAGCCCAAAATATTATAAACTGGGTGTTACTGTAACTGAACTGGTTTGGTTATTCAACTTATCAGGAATATTAGATATAATTACTATAAAAATTATGAAAAAAATCCCAGACACAAGATTATTATAAAGAAGATAGTGAAAAATGTTTTCAGATTCTTTGAAATATACCAATTGATATCATTTTGATTTTCAGCAGTAACAAGTATGTTTAAAAAAGCATTATTTTTGAATATATCAAAACTCTCATTAATACCATTTATAACATTTCTATTTTCACTGAAATCCAATTCCTGTAAATTATCAGTTTGTTTTGATGTAGATGGGAGACAAGGTGTTTTCATGGGATTATAAGTTTGTAAATCATACAAACCAATGTTTGCAAACTGTTTTTTAATATGTTCAAACTCTTCAGGGTTCTTAGAAGTTTGAAAGTTTTTAAAATAAACATTTTCAAAAGCAGTGATAACATCGCTTACAATTGTGGTTGATTCTTCCTTTTTTTCCCAAGCAGCAGTTAAATGAGCAATTAATGGATTTTTACATAGAGGAAGCAGACCAGGCATTTTATCATTTAAAAAATTATGTAATTGTATACTTTTCAAGTTTTCTCTGTCAGTTTTCTTTTGATCTCTATTCATTTTTTCAATGTCAGCAGTTTTATTAAAAATTTTTGAAAGAAACCAGGAATTGAGTCATAACTAAAGCCTTTTATTTCCAATATAATATCATATATGTTTTTTAATTCTTCCAATTTTGAATTTCTGATCAAAACAACTATTGCTAGTGAAGTATGTTTTTCCAGTAAATGCCTTGCCATACATCAATATCCTTTGAGAATTTGTTAATTCATTCAGAAATTCAATCACGTGTGTTAATTGAGTATCTTTTTTTGAAATAGGCTTATTATAAACAATTTCAATTGGTGTTACAATGTTATAGAATTTATCCAATGTTGTTTCTCCATTATGATGGGGAAATTTTGAAAGTGTTGAATATTTTTGTGAATGATTTTCTTGAACAAGTTTTTTAAGACTGTCAAAAGAATTTGAAATGGTTTCTCCTAATGTTGTAAAACTTTCGGTCTCCATTGAATACAAAATTGTTATTATATTTTCAGGCGCTGAATATGAAATACTAGAGTCAAACATAATGTTGGGATCATCTTCATTTTTAGGTAAAACATTTTCTGATTTAAGACGATTTATAAATTCTGAACTGCCTAGTAGAAAACTCTAAAAGAGTTGAAAATGTCTGAAACACTTCTGACAAGGGGAACTTCTATACCATTCAATTGATTAAATTGAACATTTGAAGACAATTTATCACTTTGTTTAACAATAGTTGGTTGTTGATATGGTTCTGAGCAATTCATTTTTGTTTTTGAATGATGTTCTACCTTCAGATTGATATTTTTTGGCAGAGGTTGAACAATATTGTCAAAAGAAAGTTTTTCTTCCAGTTGTTGTTTCTGTTTTTCAAGTTCCAGTTGTAGTTGTTCATTTTGCTGTTGTAGTAGTTTATTTTTTTGGTATTGCTGTTGCAGTTGTTGTTTCAATTTTCTTGTAATTGGTTCAGCTGTAGTTTTTGTTCAGCTTGATGTTGTTTTAGAGATATTTGTAGTTGCCTCAATTCTTGTTCTTGTTCTTGTTGAAGTTTTTCCAATGTTTGATATTGTAGCTTTTGCTGTTGCTGTTGCTGTTGCTGTTTGTAGAATTTTTGTTCATATTCCAATAATTGTTGTTTGGTTAAAGTGTAATCTTCATCAACAAGTGGCAATGCTAAATGTTTTTGAAATGAATATTGCATTTAATTTTTTGGCAAACTGCCAACAAGATTTTTATCTAGAAAATGCTTTTTTCTACATTGTGGACAAGTTATTTGCCATGGTTCACTGTGCAAATTATTCAAACAATTGAAACAAAAAGTATGTTAAAAAGGCAGTATTCTTGGATCATTCTCTATCCATAATTCCAAATTAATAGCTCATTCCAGCTTTTTGTCACTTGTAAAGTAGCCATTAGCAGCCATTCTTTAAGTTGCTGACGTTCTATAGAAAATCTAAAACCATAAGATATAACCATATATTATGTTGTAAATGGTTATGTTTATAAAGGTCAAGTTTATAAAGAGTGTTTATCATGATTTAGGTCTAATTTCTAAATTGTACACTTTTTTGTGACATTTTAAATGCTTAAACTCTGCTGTTACCTACAATTTATAACTCTTAAAATCTACAAGAGAAAATGCAATGACATTTGGTCAAACAGATATCCTAGTTAGTCATCTTCAAGGTTAATCTTTCATGACCAGTTAAGGTTTGGCCCTACTAAATGTTGGATCTTCTATCATCCTGTACTAAAAGTAAATTTAGTGTACATATACTTTCATCAGCTATACTCTACAATAGTTAAGTAGAATTGAACCAGTATTGCACTGTGCTAATTGTACTGATGGAGATAAGCAGTTTTGATCTAGTTTCGAGTACAGCAGGGCATATACAATGCGTGACAACAAATTCTACTAGGGTTAGGTTTGTTTGGGGGTTAGGGTTTTAGCACCGTGGAGAAGCACTCTATATTTTCCCCTGAGTGATACTCTTAGATAATTTTTTTATTTCAAAAAACATTAGCTTCAAATTGACATTTGATAAGTTTGTGAAAAGTACATAGTAGTGTTCAGAAGTAGAATAATGTATGAATTGTGTCAATCATAACTGGAACTTGAATTGTTTTACCCAAAGCTTTACTCTCATCTACTATTCTACTCTTTACTGTTAATATGAAATTTTCAATATCTAATTCATTGTTTGATTGTAGAATGTCTAGAAAAGCTTTTAGGAACAGAGATCCTTTTTCATCACTTTGACACTCTTTACCTAAACAGAGAATTGGTGAGAATTACCAAAATGATGAGAATATTCAACAATAAAAACATACCAGCTCTCGTACTGAACATCACCAAAATGTTCTTCATTGTGCCCATTTGATTAATCTTTTTTAGAATCTCGTTATCGCCTTGTTCGTGTTCTGCAAGTGTACAGATGATAGAGAGAGAATGAAGGAGAAAAATTTATATCTATTGGAATGCAAACCTTTCCTGTTGCCGATCGCAAAAATACATTTAAGTGAAGTAAAGTGTTGAGTAGTAAAACTTAGAATATTTTGAAGAAATGTTGAATTAGTAAGCCAATTATCAGACATTAAAAATATATAGACTGGTTTGCCAATTAGATATTCCAATTTTTTGATAATTTCCAAAATTCTACTCTGTAAATCTATTTTACTCAACAAATCATTTTCAAAAACAACCAAATAGTTGAGTTCTTCAAATTTATCTTTTAAATGAGTAATTCTCTTCTCCCGATTATAATTCATATCCATACCAAAAATCACTAAACCATGAAAGGATTTGGTATTTCGATACCTAGAAGATGGACTCAAGAAATGATTTTTTTGTTTGTCATCATTTTTATGTTCCATATTAAAATTATTAATGAATTTATGAGAAGTAGAAGAAATGAAGGTTTGACAATCATTCATGTTTGATTCTTTGTGTATTTTCACAATGACTGAATCAACCTAGTAACTAAACCAGGCTAAATATTACACCTGGTGCTGATTTACTAACATTAAAATATATTAGTCAATTACAATGGGCTCTTTGGTAAGTCCGTATTTATTTTATGCAACTGTAATCTTAAATCTAGTCATTATTTATAAAGGATGATGCTGCCAATGATGCTATCTTAGTTTTTGTTGATAATTCAACATATGACAAACTTTTGGATCTCCGTAATCAACAAGAAAGAATAGCACAGTTTAGCAGGAAATTTGCTGACAGAGGTTTCAGAATTTACACCCTAAATAATCTGGATTCTTTAACTATTCAAACCAGAATTGAAGAGATAGATACAAGCAGAGTCAAAAGATTAGTCATCTATATGCGATGTTACACAGTTTGTAATGAACTTTGTCTGTCTAACTTTGACCCAAATGCTGGAAGGAATCAACCAGGTCAAATCGCACTTGATCGTATATTAAGCTTTTTCCCCAATCTATCTCTGAACACTTCAATTTTATGTATTTTGGAAGTTTATACAACAAGTTTGTATAATTTCTTACATATCTCTTTTCCATTCTCTCTCTCTTTCTCTCTCTCTCTCTCTCTCTCTGTTTCAGTTTATCTACAATGATAGGACATGTAATATTCTGATTTGCAGTTTTGCAAGGTCAACCACTTGTGGATATTCGTAATCCAATTGTTGTTAATCCCTTTCATAATGTCCATTTAAATGGAGATGGAAATTATTCAGACCCAACAAGGGAAAATCTCTTTTGGATTAAATGCCTTATTTCTGGTAAGTGTTGCTTTGTTTGTTTATTATAAGTGAAAGTTAAAAAAAAAAAAACAGGAGGGCAAGTTGATGAACCAATCCTTGAAGCTTTTGCAACCAACCAACATTTTCCAATGAACCAGTACTTGGATATTGATCTAAGGAATTTAAAGACTGAAATTTATAGAAGAAATAGTTCAGCTTGTATTATAATCTGTGATAAACTTGACGGAAATTTCCCCATTCATATCTAATCTACTAATCCTTTAATCTTGTTTGTTTTTTTTTATCAACTTATACAAGTCATTTCTCTTTCAAATAAAACACTCATATCTTGTTTTAATTATAGCTAAACAGAACGTTATATACTAACGTTCCGTTCACATTAGATGATATGAGTGAATGTGTGTTAGTGTGTGAGCGTCAGTGTCTGATAACGACGTGGCATGAACGTGGCATGAATGTGGCAATACAGATGAGCACAGTCAAACACCCAATTAAGTGACACTAACAAAGTATAAAAGGGAGTGAATGTAATAGAACGGTGTGAGAGACCAAAAGAATATCAAATAAAATTTATACGAAATCCTTAGGAATTTCGTGCTATAAGCGAAAAACAAAATCTTATAAAATAGCTATTAGAATTTTGATTAAGAAAATTGGATTTCGAGAAAAGACAAAGAATGGAATGCTGGTTATAACAAGGTTATAAAAAAAAAAACAAACAAGTCTGGTCCTTGTTCCATGCTGTTATATTAAATAATATCATTTAGGTGTATCTATATAGGCTAAATATGAGAAAGGGTTAGAAGAAATTAATTTTTTTCAGTCTGTGCCGTATGGTACACACAACTATCAAACTATCACTTAAAGTAGGAAGGTAGAATGCTTTAGTGAATACCAAACCCCTATGATTTTTTGCTATAGATCTCTCATGAGATATAAAAATTTGCCATTTAATGTTAGGTTTACTATTCAACGAGTTCCACTCATAAATTCAGCACCAAAATTAATATAATACCATCCAGTTGATGATATTCTTGAACTTACACCTCCATCAATTAAACTGACACCAGTCAGTGAAACAATCAGGGGAACTGGAATTAGTTGTTATGCCATAAAGAAATCAGACCCTGAACCAATGAAGAAAACATTGTTTCTTTCAAGCATAAAATCTGACCAAGATATTTCAAACCTACCTTCACCGCTTACAGCTACTGTTTGATAAACGAACTCAGTGAAAGATTGAGGAGAGGGGAGGAGACAGAGCCCTTAGTGAATAGATCCCTTCCAATCAATGGTAGTATTGTTGGCAATCATTCTTATTAGGAAATGTTCCATTCTGACCTCTAACAAGGCTGATTAGATGTGTTGATCTCATCCTTTGAGCATTCAACAGCATCATCTGATGAAAATCAAAGATAAAGTTCCTACAGGTCAATCAACCTGTTGTGGTTCAACACATACAGAATATTTGTAAAATCTGAGTATTTTCCAGTATGGCCAAAATATTCCTTATAACAATCATTAAAACTTGTATGAAAATTACAATTTATGGTTTTAGTTAAAAAGTTGGTATTACAATACTTTTAAAACTTATTTTCCCACTGTTCAGTGTATTATGTTAGCAAATAAGCCTAACAAACCAATCAGTTAATGATTCTAATTTAAAGAGATAATGTTAATAAAATAAAGGCGCCTTAATAAATCCTAATTTATTGATATCTGAAAGAAGGATAGATTTGAATTTGGCCTAAAATAGAAAAAGTAGAGACCTCTGGAAAGGAACCTATTCACTTCAAAAGATGGAAATGAATAAGTCTTGTAAGATGTTTGATTGGTTAACATTAATTTACAATTTCTAGCTTTTGCCAAACTATTAGTCCATTTGCAATTTGTTAATAAAGGTTTATAAGTATTGATTTAAAGGAAAAATTAATTAATTAGTTCTTAAATTCAAAAAAAAAATATGGTAGAAGGATTATATAACATTTGTAAAGGACTTGAACATTCAATAAACACTTTGAGGAGTCTTGGTTTTGTCTGACTGTTGTTTCTTTGAAAATACAAAGGAAAAATTTGGATAGCTTAGTTAAAATGTGTTCTAAAAAAATAAAACAGTATTTTTTATGGGGAGGGATATGTCATAGTTTGATCTGTTGACATTTAAAAGGAACCTCAAGAATTATCAAAAATTTGATATTTTATTATTTTTATGATAATTTCATTTTAATAATGAAGACAGGATAACATTGAAAAATTCATTAATTCTTTTGAACTGGAAATGTATGTTTTTTTTTACCAGTTTTTATTTAAATTGCTTTATACAAAATATAGTATTCTTGGAGATTTTTAGAGTGCAATTTTCATGTGTTAATTAAGACACTCTATTTTCTATGATGAATTGTAAGATATAGAATAAATTTTTTTGTAAAGAAGTAAACATTTGTTTTGTTTATTTCACTTGAAAAATTCTTTGATTCCTTTTTTTTTTAGCTATAAAAGTCTGAATATGTTAAAAAAGAGCACAACAAAATTTCCTTAAAAATTTAATCATTTTTGCCAAATATAAACAATTCTATAATATAAATTATTAATTAAAAATCTTTCTGCAGAAAAAAGTATTTTAAATATAAATGGGCCTACTTAAAGCACTAAAACTACAGACAATGTTTAAATGATCGATTAGGCTTGTTGGTAGTTACTGTATGAATAATGCAATTAAAAACCTGGGTAATTGACATTGCTCAGCTATTAACAGCTGCAGCCTGACCACCTTCAGCAGAAATATTATTGTTTCAGTTCTCCTTATTCATATTAAATAGTAATTGAAACCTTATTAATATTTTTAAACACATCTATTACAAATAGAATATACAATATGAAGTTGGTTGTAACATTAGTCATCAGACTCTTGAACCCTTGAAAATCAATACAAATGGAAAAATCGAAATATCATAACTTTCATCCTGGTTAGAAAGTTAATAATTAAAAGATCTTTTATAAATTTTTCAATTACATTAATATAGTAATTAAATTCGAATTTACATAAAGAGAAAGAATATTCTAATATGTGAAATATGTATTGGAATTTTGTAGTTGAAAATAATTCAAGATTATTCTGATGTCCAGAAAACATAACATTTTAAAATGTGCAAAAGACTGCTGCTCATTCTGTCACAAAAAAAAACCAAATAAAAGATTGGAGATTAAAGAATTCATCTTCACAAAAAAATGTTACATTAATATTTGAAAAAGATAAAAATTTCTTTGTGCAACATATCCATATTTGATGAATAAACAATTGAGAATGATTGACAATTGTTAATATCACAATTGCACTGATATGTACAAGTATCAAGCATATCTCTCTCAGTAAAATATCCATCAACTGCATGTAAAAGTTTACAATCATTGATAAACTCTCTAAAATCCACTTTGAAAGAAGAGATTAGGTCAAAAACTCCCATCTTACAAGCATTTTCAATGTTTACTCCTTGGATTGTTAGCTGAAATGATGAAATTTGAAAATTTGAAATATCTGTTGTAGCTTTTTTATGTTTGTTACAATCTTGAGTGAGTACATTAGTTTTGTATAAATAGTTAGTTTCATTGTAAAATATCGTATTTATTGTAAAATTGCCATCTAAGTAAAAACCAAAAACATCAACTTCGCATATAATCAGTGCCTGACTGTTGGTATTAAAAATTTTAGTTGTTGATAAATAACGACCAACTGTTGATTTTGGACATCTAATTGTTGTATAGAGTGGTAACGGTCCATCATAAAGACCACACTTTAATGATGTTTGCGGTGTAGGAGTCTCGTCATTAGTGGAAACAGCTACACGAAGATTTTTTAATCTGTCGCTGATAATTTCTCCTCTTCCAATTATTGTTACTGCATAGACAACACTCATTTTCTCTAAATCAACCTTCCACCATGGTTCAATCTCATCTTCTGAATGAATACAATAGAGACCATTTTGTTCAAACAATGAACAAACTTCATCATCAACAGCGTTTGAAGCTTTTGCATGAGAGTTATACTGACTACTCACTGATGCTATCTTATCCTTAGCAATATTATTCAAATTCCACATTTCAACCTGACATAAAGTTAGTTTACCATATTCATTTCTATAAATTATAATTGAACTGGCATAATGAGGTTTTTCAGTATAGTGCATTGTTACAGTTCTAGAATGTAACACACCACCAGAAATTGTTGAAAATTGTTGATATTTACTAAAATCTGTTACAGAGATATCTTTTGTTAGTTGAGTACCAATAATTATATTTTGCAAAGCCTCAGGATGAGTTGCTCTATTTAAAATCCGTATTGTTTTTATAATATAGGATTTGTCGAGTAGAATTAAATACCATGGTTTATTTTCTATGAGAGAATGACTACATCTTCCAAAATTTTGGTATACAGGATTAAATTCTCCATTAACAGCCAAATGGACTAAACTAGTTTCGTATAAACTAGATATGTTTGTTGATTGTTTATATGCCAAATTTACATGCATAAATTGAGTTGAATGTAATCCAATTGGAAAATAGAAAAAAATCCAAATTATATCTTTCAACATTGTTTTTTCAATTGTTTGTGACAATCTGAAAACAACGACTTACAATTTTCAATTAAGCATTAAATATTTAAAGAAAACTCTCTATTGAAAAAGTTTATTCATTCATTATTAAAATCTATAGACATTTTATTGTTTATCAACAATAAATGTGCTTATAAAAGGAAAAAAATCTCATATCTTTTTCAAATGCTCTATTTTAAATAGATCCTTAAATTTTTTAACATATTGAACTGGAATAAGTACAAAATATTAAATATGGAAATAATGATACCAAGCAGTAGTTGTGAAAAAAGCATTTCAAAATGGCGACCGAACAAATGAATAAGAATATAAGATTTTTTTTATGTGAGAAATGTTGAACAAAACATTTTCTCTCTCTGGGAGCAAGTTATAATTCAAGTAGACCTTAATAAAATTTCAGCCATTTTGAATATATACCAATTGACTGTTTAAAATATAAACTCAAAGTGAAACAAAATCTCAAAAATTTCCGAATAGTTTAAGTCCCACTGATGTAGTCCTATAATTAACACTAAATTCATTATATTCAATTTTGAGATTTTTTTTAATACGCATGCGCATTAAATGAGCATGTTTTAGTTTTTCGTTTTCCATTGACTTCTGATAAAGTTCTCTGAAAAATCTAGAAAAAGGAAAAGAATTTGCAACTGAAAATTTCTACAATTACAACACGTCTAGACACATCTGTTTCAAGTGATTGTGCAATATTTTGTGTTTAGTTCATAATATGGTTGTTAGCCAATAAAAAACTTTGTAGGCTTAATTTTTAAAATAGATTACGCAACAAAACTATATAAGAAAGAGATATAATTCTTACATTTATAAGATGATTGAAAAGAATTGAAATATGGATATTTCTGATCCAGTACTAGAAAAGGATTGTTCACTCTATCGCTATTCAAAAAATTATAAAGGAATCCGTACCGGAAATACAATTAGTATTAAATTTCTTAAAAGACATTTTAGAGCATTTAAGGTAAAAATTTACAAAAATATTGAATTTGATTCAATTCTTGGTGAGAAACAAGCAAGAAATGTCTACAAAAATCAGATATTTGAAATAGATTATGGAAATTTGGAAGGAAAATTTTGTATATCCAACTCAGATTGGCAAATACCATTTAGAGGATATTCAACAAATAAGAAATATAGATGGAGATTACAACAGCAAATTATAGAAGCCAACAGAGCTAAATGGTTAAATGATGAAAGCTATACTGTATCATTCATTGACAACATTATTGATGATCATCATATTGATGAGTCAACAGCAATTAGAGAAAAAGTTGCGTTATATTGCAATTGAAATGGCTTTGTTAAAAAGTCAAGGCAAACTTCAAGATTGAAGGATTTAAGTGTTGATAAGAATATTGAAATAGAAAGTAATAGTAGTAGGCCTATTTCAGTTCAATATATATATTCTAAAGAAACTCCTTGCAAATCCAGTCTACAAATTCAAAAGAAATTTTCGGAAAATAAATCTACAAAATCATTAACAATGAAAGGGAAATCACACAAAAGTGTTGTGAAAAGTGAGCATTGGTATGAGGATACAACATTACCAATTGAATTTAATGATAAAGATGAAGAACCTATTGAACACAGTAATTCTATAACACTAAATGACTTTTTAAAAGTGAACCCAAAGAAAAAATGTGTTAAAGGAAGGAGAGGAAAATTATGGAAAGATTTTTCATTAACTAAATTAGATAAACAGGATGAGGAAGAGATCATTGATTTGGAGAAAGAGTCTAAAACATATTTTCAACCTTCCAAATGTGATTCCAATGAAAATCAGGATATAAATTTTCAATTTTCAATTCCACCATCTTCATCCGGGAATCTATCATCTCTTTTATTGGATTGTTTAGAAGAGAATATTGATATTATAGCTTCAAAATCAAATCCTGTTTGGTATTTGCTTGATTTTTCACACATTCTATTTGAAAAGAGTAAAGAATCAGGAATTGAGAGAAATCTACCAAAACATCTAAGATTTCTATTTTTAACAACTTTTGAAAATGAAACCAATGGCAATATTTCAATGAAAATGAAACTATTCACAAACTGTCATGTAAATGATGGTTTGTCAAGGTTTGAAAAGTTTACAAACAATATAAAAGAAGCTTTGATTGTAGTTGTAAATTATATTTTTCAATGGTTGAAAACTGGTAAAACATTTGAAAATAAAAAATTAAGAAACATATCAAAGAATTCTAGGGAAAGAGAAAGAGAATTGTTGGCAAACTGTTACGAAGATATTATGAATTTTCAAAAATCTCACTATGTTGATGACATTCATTTATTATATTTAAGAAAATTATGGAAAGAAGAGAGGAAAGAAATGATAGAACCAGAAAATGCACTAATCAAAGTTTACAATTGGCAAATTGACTGTTCAATTTGTTTTGAACAATTTGACATTTCAAAGGGATTTTCATTAACATGTTCTCATTGGTTCTGTTGTGACTGTTGGAAAAAATATTTATCAGCGTTTAATCATCATTTTACAAATTGTCCAACGGAAGGATGCAACATTAGAGTTTCCTTGACTATATATCTAGTTTGTCTGGATTTTAAAATGTTCATTAACTCGGAAAGTAGATTAATGGAACAAAAAATGCAAAATGATTCTTGGATGTATTGTCGTAATTTGAAATGTAAAAGAGTTTTATCTGTAAGAAAAGGATACGAATCTATGATACTATGCCAATGTTCTGATAGCTGGTGCCACAACTGCAATAAACAATCCCACTGGCCTTCAACTTGTGAACAATACCAATATTACTCTAGTATGAAGTCATCAATTGAAGAAATTAGGGCTGGTGACAAACTTGTTGAAAATGAGTTTGCCATTGGCATAAAAGTAAAAAATTGTCCAAATTGTAGAATTAAAATTGAAAAAATTGATGGTTGCAATCAAATATCTTGTTTTTGCTGTCAAATATTTTGTTGGCAGTGTTCCAACGAATGGTCGAGAAAATGTAGAAGACAAAAAAAAGTGGAAACTGTTTTACTATTCAGCAATAATTGTTCAAGTGATATAAACTATGATAACCTGAAACAGATTGATGATCTGACAGAAAAGTCTCAAGTTTCCAGTATAACAAAAAATGTATCATACATTTCTAAGATGTGGGTAAGACAGCAAAAAAGGCCTAGCACAAGTTTATGACACCACAGATGAGCAGAGTAAAGTACCCAGTTAAATGAAGCTAGCAAGGTATAAAAGAGTGTGAGTATGTCAGAACAGTGTGAGAAAATAATGAATACTTTAAATATAATTGAGATGGAATTGTCTACCATTCTGTGATACAAGCAAAAAATAAATCTTGTAAAGTCTAAAATATAAACTGGCCCAGAGCATAACAATGGCAAAGAATCCAGAGAAAACGAATGTAGTGAAAAAACTAAAAACAATGAATAGGGGTATGGGTCACACCAAGAGAGGCTTTGACGATGGATGTTAAAAACAAAAGGACTGATAAAGTTGAGATGCTTCAGGGCAGAGAAACTGCTGGATGAATGGGAAGAATCCTTCACTGGAAGAATGAGTATCAGAAACCAGAAGAAGAACAAGAAATATCTAACAATGGTAGGGAATGATTACTCACCTCAAGTTGACAACCCACAAGGAATGGGTTTGAGCGATGAAATAAGGAAGGTAGATGTTGATGCAGATATCAGAAACATATAAATAGGAGCAGTGGAATGTATGTTGGAGAAAAATGGATTGAGAAGAGGCAGCTGCTCCAGTGAGAGAAGTACCTCCTCAGGAAACAGAAAAAAGAGTATGTATGAAAGCGCAGATTATAGAAATGATGCAGAAATGGCAAAAAAGCGGGCAGAGAATGGAAGAGAGATAAACATTATGCCAAAGATGCAACACCAAGCAAAGAAAGGAAGCATAAGTGTTTTTGATACTATGGTAAATGCATATCAACTTTGCTAGTGAATTAGGAATTGACTCAAGTATGTCAAGAAATCAACATTTATTTTCATCATGGCTAAAAACTCCAACCAAAATGTTGATTAACATTGCATTTACAACAATAATTATTATTGGAACCTCATTTATATTATGGCTTGCATATAAAAGAAGAAGTAACAAACTTACTTGGAAAAGATTTTGGATGAAAGAAACGGAATTCAAATCAAAAGAAACTCACGCTTCAGAGCAAAGATCTTTAGTAGAGGAATTTCCTCCTTCAGCAGACTACGAAGATGCAAATTCGATAAACTCCGAGCTACCAAATTCGGAAGTCAGGAGAAAAAGAAATGATTTCAAATTAGATTTTTCAGATAGCGAATCCGAATCCATAAAATCACTATTGAAAGAGTGAAGAATAAATTGATAAAATTAAAAGATTTTTCGTTAAAGGACAATTGGTTCAGGTTGGAAGATGTCGCAGAGACAGAAAGTGTCCAAACAGTCCTCTTGGGGAAGGTGACCTTGCCATGGGAACAAGAAATGGGATAAATTTACAGCAGTAATTAATGGGAGAATAGCAAATGAACAGAAAATTATACCTTCCACAGTAATAGAAAAATTAAAATTGACCAGAAATGAATGGGGACATTTGGAAGTTGTTTTAAGAGATAAACGAACAAGAACTCTATTGCATAAAAATATGAGTGTAGCGAGAGTACTCATGAAATACGTACATTTAAGAACTGGTCATTCTGGACCTAATGCCATGCGTCATAGATTGAGGCGTTTGTTCTGGACAGTTGGGGAGGTGGCGTTAGCAAACGATGTTTATGATAAGTGCCAGGAGTGCGAAGAGTGGAGGAAAAATAAGAAGTTCCAATATGATGGAAACCAACCATGTAAGGACCAAATTATGGGTGAACCGATTCCCTTCGAATCAAGCGGAATAGATGTGTTCAGACCGTTCAAGAATAAAAATGGTGAAAAAAGGAATGTCCTTATAGGAGTGTGCTTAAAAACGAAAGCCGTTGCACTTGAGCTAATGGAATCTCTTAACAAGAACAGTGTTCAGTTAGCTCTACTAAGGATGAGATATTTAAGAGGACCGATAACAAATATTAGATCGGACAATGCAGCAACCTTTGTCCAAGCTTTGAAACACTTTAATGGGAACTGGAAATTTACAAGCCCTGGAGCTCCATATCAAGGAGGCTTGTGGGAACGTTCAATAAGAACGGTAAAATGGATATTACGTCCTTATTTAAAGAACTGTTTTAAAGAAGAAATTTGGAGAAGTCTACTCGCAGTTGCTGAGGAAGCGGTCTCCACAAAACCTCTTACCGCGCTCCTGAAAGATCCAGATCAAGAAGTTCTAAGCCAGAAAACTCTTACCAAGTACTATAGAGACTTGATGGCAAACTGGCAAAACTCTAAGAAAGCCAGAGATAACTGGAAGAAGATTTGCTTCAAATGGAATAGAGAAATGTTGGAAGAAGTTCTGAGAGAAGTCAGGGAAGATAAAAAAGGAGAAAGGCCTTATATTGGGCAAAAAGTATTAGTTACGAATGACAGAAATAGGGCTGAATTTAAGAAAGCAAAGATATCTCACTTAATTAAGTCTGATGATGAGAAGATTAGAAATGTTTTACTAAAAATGTCAGATGAAAAGGAGATGCGGAGGAGCTTGAGAGACTTGATTCCAATTAAATAATAACTTAGTCTTATTGCATTATTATTTTTATATATTTGTGTGTATGTTGGTGAAGACTCAGTTACCTTTCGTCCTTCCTTGGCTGGGAATGTTAAAGAAGTTACGCTAAGTAATGTTTGTGATACCCGGCAGAGGGCCGTTGTATCCTTTAAAA